CATAGCTCATAAATGGCAGAATTGAAATTTAATAAGCAATGAATATGTTTTCAATTGATGGTCTTCCTTTATCAAAAAAAAAAAAAAGTTTTGCTTGATAAGATTCTATTTTCTCAAAGATCTCAACCCATAGGGGTCTTTGCCATATCTATTCTTGTTTGGAGTCAGCCTAGATCTTTTTGTCAAACAAATACAAATCATCCTTCCCCTTTCTGTGATTCTCGTCCAGATTCCTTATACACTGTGGGCCATTTTCTTTTTCAGTCTGTTCATTTTGCTATTACTTTATTATATAATTTCAACCTTAAGAAACATATTTGAGAAAAGCAGGTACAATTGGCTAATGAGAAAATCATTTTTAAACAAGGCTCATAATGACATAATTTAATTTTTGTTGTGTATATGAAATTCATAAGTAGCTTTAAAGTTTTTTTTTAATGTTTATTCATTTTTTTTTTTTTTTGAGAGACAGAGAGAGACAGAGCATGAGTGGAGGAGAAGCAGAGAGAGAGTCAGACACAGAATCCAAAGCAGGCTTCAGGCTCTGAGCTGGCAGCACAGAGCCCAATGCGGGGCTCAAACCCACTGACAGTGAGACCATGACCTGAGCTGAAGTGGGACGCCCAACCCACTGAACCACCCAAGTGCCCCCCTAAGTAGCTTTACGTATAAACCTTGCATACGTGAACTATTTCCCATGGGAAACAAGGCAAAAAGCAAGATTGCAAATGATGATAGTTTTAATAGTTTAGAGCTTTTTATCTATTACTCCCAAAATTAGAAATAGGCCCTTAAAACCAGTCTCCAGGATTCAACATTTTAGGCAGACAGTCACACCATTATCTGAATAAAGCAAACTGGATTAATACCTATTGTATCCTTTTTACTCTTCTTTACCTGGCAATCTGATCAAAAGATGATTCACCGATCTGCACCCTCATTCCTTTTGAGCCCTGGCTCACAATTCATCTCTAGGAAATCTTCCCTAATTAACTATACTCTGTTCTGATTGGCCTTTTTGCTTTATACACTTTCAGTACGGTCTGGCACCTAGCTTGTAGGGAACAGAAAAGCATATAACACAGTTTTTACGGAGACAAAGTTTTAAGTGAATGTGTGCTTCTACTGCAATCATGAGTGCATTGATTTTATATGTACATACATTATATATACTGTGCATGTGATTCTCCTCCTCTGTTCTCAAGCACTGTTGGCTAGCACGGTGAGACTCAGGATTGTGCTGGGCCCCTAGCTAAGCACCGGCTTATTTGTCAGCTCTTCCGGTACGTTCTCCTGCTCTTCAGAAGCTGCAAGCTGCTTAGTAAACTGTTGATAGAGGGTTAACTTCATCCTCCTCATCTCCTTCACTGAAACCTACTGTCTTTTTTGCTTTCTAGTAGATAAAAAAGGCTAAGTTATTAAAACTCAAGGATAAGTTTCCCACTTAATTATCCATGGTGACAACTGACCTTTTCCTCCAAAGTATTATGTTTAATTCAGTCTGTTGGAGACTACCAATTTTAGTTGTACCTTACTTATTGTGTCTAATAAATTCTGGCATGAAGGATACAGAGCCAATGGTATATTTATATTCAATGAACATTTAATTTAACATTTTGGTTACTTGCCTGTACTCTTAGACTTGATTTTCTGTTCTGTAATGATCAGTTTTCTTCACCTCTTGTGCTTGTAGCAATAAGAAAACCATTGTGTTGTGTTTTCGCCCCTTCCGTACGTAACAGCAGGTTTATTTCTGATAGTGTGAGACTTCACCTCTGCATACCTTTGACTAGCACACATAAATTATCATATGCTGCATTTAATGAACTATTACATTTTCATATTTTCAGTATTAAATATAAACATCCAAACTGTGAGCCACACCTCACATACACAGCACATTTTGTTACATCATCTGCTGTCAAGAACTGTGACTTTGTTATTGCCCCCTTAGGCAACTCTGTCCTTTCTGTGTCAGAGACAGCAGAAAGCAGGACCTACTCAAGACAAAGAGACCTTCAGAGCTCCCTTCCTGCCTAAATGAAGTCTCAAGGTTCCAATTTTAAAAGATCAAAATGGAAGAAGGGGACCCCAGCATAGTGCAGGAAGGTACAGCCATCCTGCGAGGGGGTATTGAGCTGCACCTGGCCTCCAGAATCTGCCCCTTCTTACTGATCCAAGGGTGACCCTCATCCTCAAGCTTACAAGATGGCCACTCTGCCTCCAGGCACTGCATGGCTATTTCCAAGCAGGAACAATGGTGAAGAGGGAAGCAAAGCTGCCTTCTACCAGACTTTGCCTTCTATTAAAGAGCTTTCCCAGAAGCTCCACCCTATTACTTATATTTACATCTCTTTGAACAGAATTAGCCTTAAAAGAGACTGGGAAAATATGCATTTTTAGGTGATCCATTGCCACTCTGAGTAAAACTGGGGTTCTGTTGATGAAAAGGAAGGGTAAAAGGGATATTTGATAAGCAAATAGCAGTGTCTGCTTCAAGAATAATTAGTCTCTACAAAAACAGGTTAACCTTGACTGAATTCCAACTAAAACAATAATTAAGAAACTGGCCTTAGTGTCTATAGCCTAACTTCAGAATCTACATTTTGAAGTGAAATTTAGCAGCAGATAAAGAAAATTAATATTTTTTACCACTAGAAAAAATATTTAGAGACTTGAGCTTTCTTAAGCCCAGCTCAAGGATAGAAAAATAAATATAAGAATTGTTTCAATTCTGAAAATACTCTGCAAAAATATCTGGTGATTTTTTTCTACCAGGAAGGTATTTTCCCTTTGGAATGTCTCCTATTATATAAAATGGGATTAAGAAGTAGTCATGAGACTTTCAAAGCTTCCTTTCAAGGCTCCTTAATTCTAAAAGACCTGGATAGAAAGACAGACTGATAGCATTTTATCAGATACACACAGCCATTTTGATCCTGTACTGGGGTCATTCAGTCTTTTGGCAGGATTTCAGGCAAAACACTTGAGTATTTTCCTAGTGGGTGAGCTCCACCTGTGTTGGGTATTTTCCAACACTGATGTGACTCAGTCCAGTTTAATGCTGAGAGTACAAAAATTACATCAAAATATAGTAGACTGTCTTAATAGCATTTATTTTAGTTTTCATTCAGTTTAGACACTAATTCAGAAAATGCCTGAGCACATGATTAAGCAAAACAGGCAGCTGCCAGTGTGATGAAATTTGGGAACTCCAGGAAAGACCTCCCTGACAGACATGCCCTTTTAGTTGTGTTGAGAGGAAGGCCGCTAAGGCATGTTAGGTAAGTGCATGCTGTCCCTACAGAGAGGAGTTCATTTCAAAATAATATTCTATAACTGTCAATATCTTAAAGGAATGTATCAAATGATTTAGTATACGCATTTAGGATGTAGGTAGAACCCAAGACAGATAAATCCTGGTGAGAGTAAAAGCAAAGTCCAAAACAACATGACAGTCGGGATCCCAGTCCACCTGTAAGTAAAGTTGAACATGCCCAAAGTAAGAGTCCCAAAACCAATGGAAAGGTTTCAAGACACTCTCACTGCTTTACACTCTTGCCCTCAAATTGCCTGGATACTATGGCCTTTATCAGAAGGGAGAATACATGTGTGTGTGTGCACATACGTGTGCGTGCACATGCATGCACATGCACACACATAACGGATTGTTATTCAGCTATCAAAAAATAATGAAATCTTGCCATTTGTGCCATGTGTGTACCTTGAGGGCAGTATGGTAGGTGACATAAGCCAGACAGAATAAAGGTAAATAGCATATAATGCAGTTATATGTGGGATATTTAAAAACAAAATAAAATTGAACCAAAACCAAAACCAAGCTCATGGATATACAGAACAGAGTGGTAGCTGCCTGAGGTAGGGGTTGGGAGGTGGCTGAAATGGGTGAATGGAATGAAAAGGTACAAATTTCCAGTTACAAAATGAATCTAAGTCATAGAAATATAATGTACAGCATGGTGACTGTAGTTAATAATACTGTATTGCATATTTGAAAGTAGCTAGGAGAGTGGATCTTGAAAGTTCTCATCACAAGGGAAACAATTGGTAACTATGTATAGTGACAGATGTTAACTAGATTTACCATTTTGCAATGTATATAAATATCAAATCATTACCTTATGCCTGAAACATGTTATGTCAATTGCACCTCAATAAAAGAAAGTATCAGATATCTGTATATATTTAATTGTTTAAGGACCCCCCCTTGTTGAAGAATACATTCCTCTGAACTCTAAGAGAATGTCTCTTTTATGTATTATTAGAGTGGGTAGATTTGGGGAATGTTTCCAACACATGTCTCAATAAGCAAATGATAAAGCCAGTTGATATCTTAAAACTGATTCCTGTCTTCCCTCATGTTATGCTTTCCATTGTGCTTTTAGGCCTCACTTTGACTCATCCCACTTTCAACCATCTAGAGTCAAGTAATAACATCTACAAGACACATCCACATTTTTCCTCATGACCATGTACCCAATTCCACACAGTCTAATCCTATTCCTCCTTGATTTGTGTAGAATGAGATCATGTCTAGTCTCTTACAGATCATAACTGTTCTAGGACTGAGTTAAACATTGAAATGTGTTCTTAAACCCTACCCATAAGCATCTTTGTGTTATCATTGGCAAGGGTGGCATGCATCGGAAGTCTTTATCACAACACTGAATTCAACACACAAGACATTGTCAAATATTCTCAGATTCACCTGAGTAATGAATTATAGGAGTAATACAGACAAGGGGTTTGGAGCTTTGTAAGCCATTAAGAGAAATCATTCACCAAAATCATAAAGTTTTTGAAAAATAAAGAATGTCCTCCCTTGTTCTCTCTCTCCATCCCAGTTAAAGGACAGGAAGACAGTTTTAAATATATCAAGTATTTACTTTTTGTCTGAAAATTTAATATCTTTATTTGGCTTTGTCTGAGCTGAGCTACAACCAATATGTTTTTTAAAGGAGTTTGTTGTTTCTTTGTAGGTGCAAGCCAGTTATGTGACACACTATGAAAATATCTTCTCCCTGTTCTGGGTTCTGGAGCAGCTTCTTCAAAAGGAAACCAAAGAAGGCAACACTTCAGGTATAGGGCCTGAAGACCAAGAAATCCAGAAATTTCTTCAAAAGCATGATGAAACTATTTTCCAACTCTCTGATGCATTTCCTTTATTTACCTTTTATTTATGGAGACTAGGCATTCTCTTGAACTCAGTTGAAACTGTTGAAAATAACTCATCTCCTTAGCAATTTACTAAATGTCAGAAGCATACTGAAGTATGAAGATCTTCTGCTTAAAATATTTTCAATAATGTTTTTTAAATGAACATTTTAAATGGATCTCTAAACATAATCATTAATTCAATAGTTTTAAATTGTGTATAAAAGATTATGAGTCCTATTTCTATACTAAAAACAACCAGTTTCAGTTGAGAATGCCCTTATTTCCATGTAACTGTATTTTACAATATATTACTCAATATAGTCTAGCTCTATTATTCTCTATAGTGGACATTAATTGCCTATCTCATAAGTGATATTTACATTTTAAAAGATTTATATGTAATAGATACTAAAAGGGAACAGATCTTAAAAGTTTTGCTGCTTTATCGACACAGTCTTTAAGTGGTTATAAGTGAAATTTTAAACATTTTTTTACATAGTTTCACTTACATCATTGTCTATCATCTTAGAGGGAGTCATGTAGAAGAGGCTTATACATTTATAAACCTAATGCCCCTCAGTATCATAAAATCAACATACCTGTCAAGTCATCTGAAAGTACTAACTCATTGCTTAAAATGTTGTTTTCATTTTGTTTACTGTATATAATATTCCTGTTATTAAAATGTAGTTAAACCATGTATTTTTAAGTCATTAATATTTTACAAATTTTTACAAATCTAACATCTGTCCAGAAATATACTTTAGACTTACTGAAAGTATATTTATACTTATTAAAAGTTTTAGTTGAATTTTCCAGTTACATCGACTTTATTTCAATTATTAAAATCATAACCAACTAGCTTAACAAGTACACATTATTCACTTTCCTATGGTGCCATTTAGGGCACAACAAATACAAATTTGCTTTCTTAATTATGTGTGATACTGCTTCATAAGTTAATTACCATTCTTAAATGCCACTGGTCTTTAAAAAAAACAATGTATAGGAAAGTATATCATCATCTACGATAGTTATTTTTGGAATTATTTCTAGCTTTGTAGAAAACTGTTTTTTTTATACTGAAACTCAACGTATGTACCATTCACCTATTGTTATGAAACAAACAACTACAAAATCTCAGTGGCATACAACAATAAATATTTATTTCTCAGGTGTCTGTGGGTCAGTCATTTGGGGATCGGCTCATCTGAACTGGGCTCTGTTGGAAAGCTCTTCTTGCGTTGCAGACCCCCCTGGGCTAGGTTAATTATTATAAATTGAACTTTGGTCTCTTCCATTTGTTCCTACTCTGGGGCCCAGGTTAAGAGGGAGGCAGCTACTCAGGGCAGCAACCCAGGTCTTCTGTGGCAATGACAGATTGGTGAAAGGAAACGGCTAGGTTGAGAAGGTTACACTCATCTGTCTACATGCATAAGCCAAAGTACACCAAATGGTCAACACAGAGAACCCTCTGCCCAGAGTGGGAGAACTTGCGAAGCTACATGGCAAAGGGCAAGGATATAGGAGAGGATGGAGAATTGGGGCAAATTGTTCTCCACACATACAAGTTGAGCACAAGAAGTGTAATCCATATCTTGAATTAGGAGGATTTTTTCTAATATTTGATTCCTGGGATTTGAATAGTTGATGACACTACACAAAATCCACTACCCATGATATCTCCCCATCCTTACTCTTAATGATTAGACAAAGTTTGGTAATTACATAAGCAACAGCAGTGGCCCTTTTCCACTGCAGTCAGCTAACACAATGTTCCTAAGAAGCCTTTTGTAATTAGAACAGATTTCTTAATTCCAGTAGTCTTCAAAGCTTCATTGTCTGAAAATTAGTCTAGAAAATGTATTTATTTTAGAGGAACAGACAAGATGTTGAGATCATCATTTAATGTACAGAATGGAGATACATTTTACTTCCATTTGGTATTAATTTTATGTAAACAGTTCACTTTAATCAATTATATGATACCTAATCATTATCCTGGGTTTCAATTTCCAACAGTGTTAACTGTCCAATATTGAGGTCTAAAAATGTTGGTGAAAAGAAGACAAAATGAGACATCTGTATCTCTGTTTCAGTAAGATGGTGTAAGAGAGAATGAATGAATAATTTAAACTAGAATTAAAATTATTTAAGAACACTGTAGCAATTAACATTTGATTAATGTCTAACTTTACAATTAAAATTTGGGGGATAAGAATAATGGAGACAGTAGAAATTAGGCAGTGCTGAAATTGATTTTAGGATAGGATAGGAAATAAAGAGAACCACATAATCCTAAAAATGGAAGAAATGATAAAAATGATAATAAGTGCCAACATTCATATAGTATAACACTCATGTAGAGAGATACAGTAGGTGCCAGCCAGCACTTAACTAAGCATTTTGCCTGTATTTATTCATTTAATTCTCCCAACAACCCATGTGATAACCTTATTATCTCCATTTTAGAGATGAGGAACTCAGCAAAGGAATGTTCAGCAACTTGCCCAAGTTTACAGCACCAGGTGTGGAAGACTTAGGTTTCACCCCCAGGAATTCTATCTTCCCAGTCCACACTCCTGATTAATCTACTACACTTCCTTCTCATTACAAATTGTGCCAGCACTTCGTGAAAGTTTCATAAATACCACTTCTTGGCAATTGTCATCAAAGCCTTATATGCCTTCAACTACGAATCGTACACCATGGCAGTGATGAGCTTATTTTGGATTCTTCAGCCTCCGCAGAGCAGTTGTTCTATCTACCATCATCTTGGAGCAACAGCTTATTCTTTTCTAAATTCTTATTCTTTTTATAGTAGCATTTATGATAGTAAAGACTCTTTAGGTAAGTTACAGATAATCTTCAATTATGTTCTAAAAAATAGAAAGCTATCTTTAAAGATGGGCTAAGTGAACTGTCAGGCTACAGTGCTCCACCTGGTGGGGAGAGAAAACAAATCTGATTGTTTTATCCTTGGATCTATAAATAGATATTGGTGGTGTGTAATGCAATTATTTCACAAACTTGTACTTTTCCATCATATTTGTTGGCATCCTACAGATAAGGGTAGTTATCCTAGAGAGACAAGGAAACAAGCCATTTACATTTCCAGAATTTTATATAAATGTGTAGATTTTTAAGAAATATTGATGGTTCTAGCTCATAACTTGGTTTCATTTATTCATCAAATATTATGCACCAACTTTGTGTACAAACAGGTTATCTGCACATATGAAAAATAAACATACTAAGTTTTAGCTTCTAGCAAATTCATAAAGCAGAGCTTTCTTTTAGTGGTCACTATAATGATGCAACAGCATCAATAGCTTGTATTTTCTGAAGGAGATAATCAGAGTGAAAATATTTATCTGCTTTTGAAAAAAAAAAGATTTTTATTATCGAAAGCCAATTCATTCTTTTTAAATTATTTATAGAATTGGACAGCACTAAATTTATCTGGCCAATGAATAGGCTGCTCTTTTAAGAACTGCCTGAGTATTATGGAGTATGATTGACATATAGGAAATGATGTTGGCCTCTTTTTTAATTTTCTATTTAATATGAAAGTCCTTTAGTTTTAAGAATCTATTACTAATAGGAAACAAAGCTTGTATAAAGATAATATAAGTCTAACATTCAAGACACTGAAGTAATTTTATAATTCATATATATATATATATTGCAATATTTTCTTTGGATATTTTAATATATTTTTTGTTTTAGTTGCTTATAGGTTGGTGAACTTTGCTGTATTTCAGTCAGTAGTTCCAAATGTTCCATAGCCAATCCATGGGGGCATCAAGATTTATAGATAACATTAACCTCATTTGTCTCTGATCTATATGTAAAGCAGTGGTTCTCAAATATCATCCCTAGGCCAGAATTATCAGCAACACTTTCAAACATGTTAGAAACACAAATCCTTGGGTCCCGCTGCAGATCTACTACAGAATCAGAAAGGCTAGGGTGGAGCCAGAAATCTGTTTTGTCAAGTCCTTTAGGTGATTCTGATACCCACTAATGGTAGAGAACCATTGCTATAATCATGGATTTTACTGAACAGGAAGGCTTAATACATAAAAAATCATTCAAAAAAATAGAAATCCAATCATCCCAAGTTATTTAACTGAAAAATTTTTAGCTTTCCCTCTATGTATGTGCCTTAAATTCCAAAGTAGGATTTGAGGAAACTTAGTTATTCCTAATTCACTTAAAATGAGTAACAAATTTACAAACATATCTGTCAAACTGAATAGCACTTTAAACAGTTACCATCTTTACATTTATTTCTTAGTTACTTCACTAAAATTACTCCCTATTGGTGGCATTTAAAAAAATTATAATTCAACTTTATGAGATATATATTAACTATAGCTTTCTGTATTAGTCTTTGGTATAAAATGCAGAGAGATGCAGATGTGATGGTACTTCACTCTTAAGTGGGCACCCCCAAATATCAGAATATTCATCTTATTCCCAGAGATCTGTTTTTATAGATAAGGTAAATATAGCCTAGTTATGAATATATTATTCTATATCACGGCCATAGAGATGAAATTCTACCTTCTTTAAATCCTTCTGGAATATGATGAGATATAAATAAATAGTTAATAAATGATTGCTTATTCTCAACTCTTGTGTTTATTTCCACCACGCTGCATCCTTACCACATTACTGTGAGCTCCAAGTTGCCTAAGGACAGAACCCTTGACATAATGAAGGAACAGAGAGCTATCACTGCTTTAACTTTAACAACTTAACCATTAAGACATTTTCATGAATGATTAATGATTTCAGGAGCATTAGAAAGGCCAGACATTCAACCATCAGGGAAAAGGATGTATTTGTTATTTTGCTCTCACATACACACTGAAATTCAACATTTGTTTTGTAAAAAAGAGATCTAAATCTTTTCAAACGAATTCTAAAGTTCGGAGGGGGAAAAAAGTTTCCTTTCTTCTATTTTACCTTGTGTTGTTTAAGGGGTCCCACCACAAGGAGTGGCTACACCTTTGGTATCTTTTTGCCCTGACTTGCATCAAGGATGTGAAGAGGCCCTCAGAACTGACCTGTCATG